GTCTTGTTTTCCCTCTCCCTGCTCTGTTTCGCTCCCCCTTTGCTGTGTTCCGCCAGCGTACCAGCTGGGAAATTGGCCTTGGGCTATGAGCTAGAAGCATACAACCATATGCTAGATTTTTTTTTTTTTTTTTCGTGGAAGGTGTGTGTCGAAACAAGGGGAGGGGTGGGGGAGGATGATCCGTCTGAAATGTAATAGAATGTAATTGCTAAGTAGGACACTCCTCTAGTTGGGCTTTGCTTTTCTAGCGCGTTCTTCGGATTTGCAAACGGCTTCACTGAAGAAGAACGCCTGTCCCTTTCCGGCGCACAATCAAACACAAACACTGCCTCGCGAAGGCTGCGGGGAAGAGGCTGCTAAGGACACAAACACAGCTTGCTCATTAGTTACTTTCTTTTTGGACCGGGTCCAAATTTCTGCAGGTCATAACTCACCGATAACAGCGAATGGAAGTCGCTGATCCAGCAAAAAATGTTCAGAACTTACACATTGGCCTCCCCCAAACACACACACACGCACACACACACACACACACACACACACACACACACACACACACACACACACACACACACACACACACACACACAAAGCCGATTCTACTGTTAAGAGAAACACGTGGTCTCTTGTCAATGAGTTTGCGCAGCAAGCGCAGACGCAGCCACTCTCACCGTGAGATCGTCTTATTGATTCCGAATGACAACCTTTACATGTAGTCAATAACCCTTTTGAAACCCAAATATCGGCGGCATTCAGCTTTTTAAAGGCCACGTAAACGTGCGCGAAAGGCCAAAAACGTCCAAGACGGTCAAGGGTCCGATGGTGAGCAACTGACAGTGCAGTGTGCAAGCAGGTCCGATGCCCGTCTCTGTGCCAAAGGTCCGAAATGACCGATTCTCACCTCAGCTCATCGGGCACTACAATTCAGCCCTGAAAGGGTCACGACCGTAATCCAGACAGAGACCTCAGTCTCCTTTCTGAATAGAGCCGCTCCCCGTTACGACCTCCTTTCGGGCACACGCTATCGGTTCTGTCTCACATCCCGTTATTTCCCTCCATCGCTCGTTAACCTCTCAGCCGGCCGAATCAAAGTTCAGGGCAGGGAGGAGAACCTCAGACGCAGCGGTTCAGATAAGAGGACCACCCTCCACACCCTCTTATAGCCTCCAGCCTGGTGATATATGGATCTGCAGGGGCTAATAGCAAAGTATTGACAGGGAAATGGTGTGCTTATCCCGCTCCTGCATGCTGGCAAGCGCTCCCCAAAGCAGATGGGACATACTTTGGGGAGAGGAGGAGGAGGAGGAGGAGCAGGAGGGTGACGAGATGCGGTAGAATTGCACAGGGACAAATTACAGTCTTTATTGCTTTATTTCAGCTAATTTGCCTGTGTATTTGTCGCTAAAAACATGCCAGACCCGACTCAAACAATTGACTCCAACCAAACACTGTAAAGTCGGGAGGAATGAATTAAGGAGCGCTGCGGCAGTTCGACTCAGTGTCTGCGATTTTTACACATGATGTTCATAATTTGGTGTGGCTGGTGCTGCCAAAAAACAGCAACAGGACGGAGCACTCCATTTGCCTCACATGAGATAAAGCCGTTCAGTCTAATGAGCTCCAAATCAGGAGCGAAATCCGACAATCTGTCTTTCAAAAGACATGATGACGCCGTTCGATGGGTGTTCTTTTAACAGCTTCTTTTTTCTTGTCTTTGTCATTTTCAGCGTCAAGAGAGGCCTTCGTAATATTTTCCCATTTCAGGAGCAACCCCTCGAATCCACGAACAACTTTGTTGCCGTGCATTTCCCTGCAGCGCCTGTACAGAGAAGTAAGGTGACGCGAGGCCATTTAAAGGTTTGAAAACAAATAATAGGATATTGAAAAGAACTCCAAAATGTAGAGGGAGCCAGTGAAGGGACACCAGAGTAGGAGTGATGTGCTCCCTATTATGAGTCACAATCTAGAGGCAAGCAGCAGCATTCTGGACCAACTGGTGACCCCTAATGGAGGCAGTCCTCCATTAGGGGTCTCCTGATTCCAAAGTCAAGTGCATTACAGTAATCCAGCCGGGATTTGACGAAGGCATGAATGACTGTTTCTCAAAGTGCTCTTGAGAAACGAGAGGCTTAACTTAAACCAGCTGCCTAAGATGAAAGGAGCCGGATTGGACAACAGCACCAATTTGCTGGTCTAATTTCAAATCACTGTCCAGTTTAAGACACAAGTTCGAGACTGTTGGCATAAAATAAGGAGCCAGGGGGCCCCAAGTCCACAGGATGGGATGTACAAGGGCCACTGGGACCAAACACGATCACTTCTGTCTTCTTTTCATTGAAATTGAAGAAATTTGGTGCCATCCAGGTCTCCAAAATAAGAACGTTTTTTTTTTTTTCTTCATAAAAAAACCCCAACAAAACTAAAATCTTGGTTGGTGCACGAGACCAAAGAAGAGACTCTACATAAATGCGCAGATCCAGAAATATTTGTTTTAACAATTCATTTCACTATAAGAGCACTGGAAGAGTGCAACCCATCCTCCATGAACCAGGAAGTAGCATGCTAGGAAGTAATTAGCAGATGACAAGTTAAGACAAATACAAAGCTCTACAACAAAAGACTTTGTGGTGGGGGTGCGTCCCCCCTAAGTGGAATTTCAGTTGATCATGATCATTACGGCATTATGGCACTGCTGAAAAAAAAAAATCTAATCGCGGCATCGTGGCATGTGTATGGATTGACGGCATACATGAGCATGAAGACGCCTCAATGAGCATTGGGCAAAGACAATGCCGCATCTTGCCAGGGGGTGCCAAGCACTAAGAGCCTCGTCGACGCCCATGATTACCCACTTGACATTTTTATAGCTCCATGGCAGACGCCCTCTCCAACGTAACTGGAGAGGGACACACGGTGTGCCAAAGTGGCCCCACAGTGCTCGGTGTGGGCCATCAGAGTTTTGTGTTGACATAATTAGCCTGCTTAGCTGCCATCTGGGCTGTGGTTGTTGGCGGGTGGCATGAGCCAGGTGCTTCACGGGTAATACCAAAGAGAGGCATACAGCAGATGCGCACGGCTAAAGCCGCGCGCGCCCACCCCGGCGCCGGTCTGGAGTCAGTTAAGTCAAAACGCGGTGGGGTGATTCTGAACATTTTGACAACTTCACACAATGAGAAGAATCAGTTAGCATGCAAATATTTACCAGTGCTCTCCTCTTGCCGAAGCCTAAAAAAGAAAAAGGACAACATTTTATGACGGCGCAGATGCCGAATCTGTGCTAAGCTCTCCGTTCCCGATAAAAACGCACGCCAAGTAATCACCGCCTGTTTACCCACAGGTACAGATGACGACTGACAGAACCCTTTCTACGATGGAACTTTCCTGTACGACTGAGAGCCTCCACAAGCGCCTGTTATCAATGAAAAGCAGGTGCCTTTTAATTGCCGCCACCCGGCTGAAAATCGGAAGACTTTCTTAAGCAGTTCAGTCGGGCCAGTAACTTGATAAGGCCGCTGGATTTACTCGATGAGCTCAAAAGTTCCTGAGCAAGCAGCCGGCATGTGGTTGTTGTTCCCAGAGGGCTGGGAAACCGTATCTGCCCTGCAGGAGCATCCTCTTTGGTAAGCACTTCTTATCCAGGCCATCACGGCAGGCCGATAGCAGCAGGGTAATATCCAGTAACTGCGGCTTTATGTGCGATCCAATACTCGGATCAATCCCTTGGACAGGAGGCTCGCCATTAACCTCTCAGATCTCCCTCTTGTCTCTCCTTTCTTTTGTGTCCGCACTGACTACTTTCTTTGAGACTGCAGCGGAAAGAGATACATTGAAGAGGACGCACGAGTACCTGCTCCTGATCTCGACGTCGCCTTATCAGACATTTTGCGAATCGTCTCCCGCAGTCTCAAAATCTTTGAGCATAAGGCCCAGCATTTCATGGCCGCGTACGCCCCCTGACACACACTGGCCACAGAAAAACAAAACATTTGCCTAAAGATAGGACAGTGTTGCACAGCGTGGACTGAAAATGTCAGAAACGACAGAAAACGACTCACTAAGAAAACTCCCAGAATGTCGCCCATTTTTGGGTGCTGTTACATTAAAAGCAGTGACGCTTTCAGTGGCTCCCATCCTGTAATTATTTGCATTGCATCCAAATTCAAAATGCTGTGTCCAGCGATAACATGCCTGCACAAGCGTGTGAAGCACAGAACAAGGGGAATGTGTGTGTGTGTGTGTGTGTGTGTGTGTGTGTGTGTCTGTGTGTGCGTGTGTGTGTGTGTGCATGGAGTGATGCACGTGCTTCCTTGTGCTTGAGAGTATGTGCAGGCAGGGAAGCTAGAAATCTGCTTAAAAGAGATGTTGTGGATAGGAGAGAGACTGCAAACTCCCAATACTTGAGGGAATCTTGCCCCATATTTGGTCCCACATGACTGAGCAGAAGAAAGGCAGGCTGAACCAAAGCCACGCAGCTCTGAAGAGCATCTGTTGTCCTCCCACGGAATATAAATGGCTTGTCGCTGAATTTGGGACCATGTGCTTTGCTTGTGTCACACTAAGTCGTCGTGCCTTCTAAAGCGTTGAGTTACACAGATTGTTCAAAAGTAACATTTTTCAGCAAGCCCTCCTCCCCCCCAAAAAAAAAGCAAAACAAAACTGAATTGACATGTAATAGCAGAGCGCTTTTCAGCATTATGAATGTGAAATCTCAATTACAAGTCACTCAACCACACTCGAGGCTGTGAAAAATGATAAATGTAACATCAGGGAAAATACCGTTTGATTGAAAAGTGTGCTTTAAATTCTAGTTGGTGTTTCCATCCAAAATATAACACTGAAAATCTTACAGTCCAAAATAGTCACTTCTGTCTGCGCAAATTCAAACAAATATTAGGATGACATTTTTTTTCCTCCTGTAGCTGACCACTATAAAAAAAAGTCCAACCAAAGAAACGATGAAGGCATTTGCAGTCGTCTAAAATGTGATAAAGTTGACCTACCTTGAATGAAACTTTTCAACGGTGCTGTCAAATGGATTTCACGAGCCGAGTTGAGCACATCCTGGTGTTTGCCTGGCAGACGTGTGAGGGCCAGGAGCGAGCGCGCAATGCTCGGCCACATTCCAGCGGGAGGCACGTGCGCCGGAGCCGGGTCCGGCCGTGTCAGAGGGCCGGCCATGCGCAGCCCGGCTCGAAGACCTTGGGACGGCCACACGGGGAGACGGACTGAGCCAGACTGGGCTCTGCTGCGAGGCTTTTGCGCCTCGCCTTTCCTCAATGAAAGCAATCCCTAAGAGTGAATGGGTAATGAGAGACCGGCTCCTGAGATTTTAGCTTTCTTAATCATGTTCATAATTAATTCAAGAACATTGATAATTTCATTACATTCTTTTTGTCTTATCAATAAATGATGTGCCTGCACTTTTGGTCTTGTGTATACGGGAGAGAGGGAGGAAGCAAGAGAGGGAGAGAGCGAGAGAGAGAGCGACAAGAGAGGTGATATTGCACTAAAAGCACAAGAGATGGAAAATGATACAAACAGGGAAGTGGTAATTATAATCTTTGACCAAGCCACTGGCTGCACAATATGAAGTCAAGTGGCTACAAATAATTAATAAGGCCTCCTGGTGTGTGTGTGTGTGTGTGTGTGTGTGTGTGTGTGTGTGTGTGTGTGTGTGTGTGTGTGTGTGTGAGTGGGTATACGTGCAGCCGAGGGGACGTGTGTGTGTGTGTGCGTGTGTGTGTGTGTGAGTGCGTATGCGTGCAGCCGAGGGGACGTGGGGGGGGTTTCCAAAGCATTTGTGCTGACGACGTCTTATTGGTTGACTGTTGTTTCACCCGCCCACTTTTCACAGATATGTGATCAAATATGAAAATGGATCCAGCAATGTTTGCAGCAACATTGTGTTTGACACTCTGTTAGTGACGCAGTTGCACAATAGACTCACCTTTGCCGAAGCTGGAGGACGCCGGCCTGCCTTTTAATGCCCTTCGGATCCAATAAAGGCTCCGGTTTCAGGGAGATTAGTGATATGGAGGAGACCACTCTTCCTCTCACTCCTCCACGCCCCCCCACCCCACGCACACACTTCTTTGCCCTCCGCCAGGTCAGAAAAACCTAAAAAAGAAAATGTGGAGCGCTTTATGTCTCTCTGTCTTCTAGTTTCCAGTTATGTGGCAGAAGGAGTAATGAGACAATATGCATTTTTAATACTTCACTTTCTGAATATTCCAAAATAAGCCTTCACCTCATAATTAATCAAACCGTTTGCCGTTTAAAGCTGATAGAAGTGATGTCATGGCTATCCCCCGTTTTCTGAAAATAGCGCGACTGAATTGGAGGCTATTTAAAGAGCAACATTTGAACAAAAACAAATGCCTTCTGATTGCGAATCATCCATTTGACAGCAACCCCACAAATGAAACGTGCCATTTTACAGCCACTCCCCAAAAGCCTTTGCTTCATTTCTACACTTCAAAGTGGCGTATCCAAAAATCGGCAAGAAACATCCGATATTCACCCGCGATGGAAGGCGCGAACCTCAGACACCGTGTCATGACCGGCAAAGAAGCTGACATTCTATCCACCTGAACACTGTGATTTCTCAAAACAAATCTTTGGATGCATTTAAGCCTTTCCTCTTGCATTTAAAAAAAAGTATTTCGGAGACTTTTTGAAATCTCTTGCCAGAGTGAAAATGAAGACTATTTTCAAACTTTAGCCTGTACATAGATGTTCATGCCAAAGACGGAAATTTGTTTTCAAAAGGCCCTTATCCATTTAGAAAGACTGCAAACGAGACAAGCACGTCTGCACGACAGGGCGGTATCGAAAACGGACGGCATTCACACATTTCTAAATAAGGGTACGTTCCTCAATGGACGTCCGAATGTGTTCATCACTTTATGATTCGATAATAGATCGATCACTGTTGTCCGGGTATCGTTTGCATGAAATCCGAGTCGTTTGGTGACGGGCGTGACGCGAGGCTATTTGGGTCCTGACACTTTTCAAATGTATTTGGAATTGATTGCAAAACTGATGGCTGAAGCCCGATGCAGCATTAGCGATTCAAATACTTTATGTCCTATTTCTTGCTCATGTGCCACAGGCTCTCGTCTTGAGATATGGCCAGCCTAACAGGGGAAATTATGAAATAAAATACCAAAGTAAAGAGGCAAAAATATAGATTTACAGCAGGCCATTTCGACAGTAGACTTGATATAAGAGGTTCATAACAAGTTTTGCATTTCACACCCGGGCCCCCACATGTGCATTTTCCTCATCTTTTATGTGATCTATGCATGCGGTACTCATCCTTGCGACGTGTCCTTCTCAAACGGATGGCTACAATACTTGTAATGATGGTCCATCCCAGCTGTGCAACACCAGAGAGAAGGGAGCAGCAGGCTATAGCATTACCATAATACCCTCACCCTCCCTCCACTGTCCCAAGGGACCAAGTGGGCCTTGCATGGGGATGTGGGCTGTCTTGGCTGCGGAGAGGACGCGACCGGCTGCTGCTGGACCTGCAGGCTGTATACAATGCGTGTGCGCGAGCGTGCGTGTGTGCGTGTGTGCGTGTGTGTGTGTGTGTGTGTGTGTGTGACAGGGAGAGAGAGAGAGAGAGAGAGAGAGAGAGAGAGAGAGAGAGAGAGAGAGAGAGAGAGAGAGAGAGACACACACACACACACACACACACACACACACACACACAGACACACACACGAGGCTGAACCTGCCTGTGGGCAATGTAATAAAACCAGCACACGCTGCTGGTGGTGACGGTGGCACTGCTGCTATAGCTGCAAAGGAGGGGATAAATATAAACTAGGCCTGCATCAAAGAGACGGCCCTCCAGTCACAGCCTGACTTACACCCTAATAATTAGGGCCCTACCCAATAAAACAGGGGGTTGTGGCCATGCATCTATTTTACTCGTGTTTGCAACTGCAGTGAAACCTGCGGTTGGATTCGGTCTTAGATCGAGCTCAGGTTGGATTCTGTGAATTTAGGAAAAATGTCATCAATTAACATCATTTTGTAGTTACTTGGATTGGTACATTTTGATGTTATTTAAAAGAAATACTCACTAGAGTATAGATAATAACGAGATAATCAATAAATAACTCACATTTGTTATGTTTGAACTTGAAATGTCCTACTACATTTGATTGCACCTCTTGCCTCGTGCCCATTGCTGCACATCAATGTTTACAGTCTCTTTAGCGGCTACGTGCTAACGTCGGAGACTGGTGCCGTATCACAAAACGACGGCGTAATTAACTTGCGGTTTCTTAACATCCTAAATCAGCAACTGAATATGATTTTGGAATGGTGTTGTGTTGATGCCGGTAGCAACTATGTTGACATCATCATCATCATTATTATTGTGATCCATTCATCCATTTTCTGAACCGCTTTATCCTCACGAGGGTTGCAGGCTTGCCAGAGCCTATCACGTCTGTGATCAGGCAGTAGGCGGGGACACCCTGAACCGTTTGCCAGCCAATCGAAGGGCACACAGAGACGAACGACCATTCGCGCTCACACTCAAACCTCGGGACAATTTTGAGTGTTCAATCAGCCTGCCATACATGTGGGAGGAAACCCGAGTACCCGGAGAAAACCCATGCAAACTCTGCACTGTGAGGCTGACGTGCTAACCAGTCGGCCACCGTGCCGCCTCTGGCTACATCGTGCGGCTAAATCATTCCTAAATCACACTGATGTGAGATTGCAGAAGGGAGACAGAGGAAGGTAGTGAGAGTGAGGGGAGCAGGCTGGGGCGGCAGTCCAGGCAGGGGGCATCAAACTAATTAAAGCAAGCATTTGTCAGAGATTAAGCCTTAAACAGAAAAGGTCACCTGAGCACCAGCGCTCACTGTTTCGCCGCCGTGCTCTTAGGGCAGTCTAAACCTTTCCGAGCTAAATGGTAAAGACGCTATTTGGCAGCATTTTGGGGGGTGGGGTTGGGCGGCCGTGCTCACCACTGGTGAGACTGACACTCGGGTCATTGGTTCTTTGCCGTCCATTACACACGCTGGTCAAATCTGGCAATTGCTGTCATTTAGGGATGAAAAATAAGTGCTGGACAAGATCAATAGATGCAGCCGTCTGTAGCAGCAGTGATTAATTGACTGTCGCCAATTAATGAGCAGCCTGTTGCACAGCAATGCAATCGCAAAGGGAAAATGGGTCTGATTGAAAATGTCTTGCCGTTCAGTCAGGTAGTGGCTATCCTGCAGCATTTGTTTGGCTTCACCTAAGTATAGTAGGCAGGTACGGATGATTTGGAGACCATTTGTTGTTTTTAATCATACCGTACACAACACAACTAATACAGAATTTATATAAACATGACATGTACCGCAGTGTACACGGGGGAAGGCTGTAATAATCAAACACATGCTGGAGGCATCATTTGCAGTTCATCGATTTCTTTCAGGTAGCGTTGAGTTGTTCAAGACAAAAGTTCTACGATGGTGAAACAAAAACGGTGCCTGCAAACAACATTGGTGTGCCCTTTATCTTTTATTGTTCAAAGTGCTTGTGTCTGTGGTGGATGAAATTCGAATGTGGCCAATGGACACTGAAACATCGCGCTAACATACAAACTGGAATCAGTGTAACAGATTAATTTGGAAGCAGTCAATTGTAATTGTGTTGGGGACATGTCCCGGTTGGAGATAAATGAAGCATGGGGCATGTTGGTTTAGATATGAGTGATAGCTTTCGAGGCAAAGTGTACAAGGGAATCATTTTGTGATGAGAATGGTATAATTTGATTGCTGAGTAATTACTGAAAAGACAAGACAATCACGCACTTTTGTCTACTATCAACTGGATATAAAATGAAATGGAGGAATCGTGAAGATGTAAATAAATCATGCAGCACCCACCAGTCGGGATATTATTTTTAGTTCGGAGAGAGAGTATGTAACCAGTTATTATTTTTTTGAGAAATAAACCCGCCCTTCTCTATGTTTTCACACAACAAAGAGAACATAGGAGTTTACTTCTGAGCAACAATTGAATTTGTTTACAAGTTAAATTCATCCCGCATGGAAGCAATGTGTAGCACATGTACACACTGCCTCATCAGCCAGAAGAATATTACACCAGTGGCAACCCCTTATGCTGATATCGCTTCAATTGTAACATTTTTTTTTCCAAAGGTATGTTGAATTATGCAAATTACATCCTATTTTAAGCAACTCAGTAGGGATGAGCAACTCAGCAGCTGGGATGCAGATAGACTGCATTTTCCCTTGAAACACATACAGACTGTTTTGGGCAAGTATCACATGATGTGACCAATAAGATTAATTTACTTCTCTAAATCTGAAAAAATGGAATTAACGTACAAAAGAATTGTCTTCTTCTTACCATACGCTCAACAGGGATGCACAAACTCGAGTCATCCAACCAAGACTATTTTATGAAACTGTGAAAAATAGAAGAGGTGACAAAACCTTTGCTCGATCCATTTTTTGGGAACAATTGTTTGATGATATCAATTCCAGCGTGTCATGTGATTCCGTTTTTCCTCTTCTACCATTCTAAAAAGTTAACAGGGTTGTGCGCATGTCTTGTGGGACACCCGTTCCTTATATAAGAACTATTTTTAAAAAAATTCTGTTTTTGAAAATAAATGTTACCACTGTTACAAGAGACAGCAATATAAAACTTGTTTTCAAGTATTCTTTTCTCTAATTTTTTTTATATTTGTTACTTTGAATTATTGGGTGAGTGTGTGGTTGTTTTGCGTAACAAAGTGTTTTGGCTTGTTAGACTTTCCGTAGCCCGATTTGGATTTCCGCATCATATTTGGCGCGCGTTTCCGGACTTCCGGTTGGCTCATTTGAACCCCCCTCAACAAAGCGCGTGTCACATTCCCGTTTGAAGTCATGGCTCACAACTTTCAAACTTCAACACTTTGTTTGACTCTGCCGATATCCTGTCAGATATGCCTCGGAAAGGTAACTACTACATTTCTTCCGCAGCGACAACTACGGGGGAGTATTCCCGCCGTGAAAGAGCAATCGAGAGAACAAGCCGGAAGTGTTTGTGCAAGCACAAACGTCGGCTACAACGTAGTCTTGAAAATGTTTGACTGCCCTAAGTCGAGTATGACGTAGCAAACAGACTGTCAATGTATTGCAGGTCAGACAGCCGGTCATCTGTGGCAACCATCACGTCTTCTGTTCGTCCTGCATGGAGATGTGGTTAAAAAAAGCAAGCCAGTGCCCCTCGTGCAGAGTCCCCATTACGACCGAGAACCCTTGCAGAGAAATTATCGGTGAGCATACACAAGACACTCATTTGCAGATCTGTAGAGATCCAGTGCAACTCTTTCCAAATTCCAAAACGGATTGTCATGTTCCCTCACACAGCCTGAGAGCAATGTTTTTCGATTATATTGTCATTGATGTTTTCAGGTGGTATGAAGTTGCAAACTTGGAGCTGTGGGTCATGTATTGACCCTTTAGGTGTATATCAAAGCAGTGTTTGGTTATTGTCAGAGGTGGGAGTAAGTCTTATATGTGTAAGTTGCAAACTTCAAGTCTCAAGCAACCCCGAGTCAAATCGCCATCAAATTTCAAGCCAGTCAAAACATTTAAAGTGGTCATTAGCAATGTTGTTTTTTCGTTTTTTTCCCCAGTCACTTTGTAATAAGTGACAGTGTCAGCTAGGGGGAATGCAAATGAAGTAGGATGTCACTGCGTTTGTCAGCTGAGAGGAGCTGGTCTCTAAGGTTAAACGTATATGACACTAATGTTATAAATATTTATAATGGAGGGATCTTGATTAGTCCCACATTGGAGAAATTAGCATCATTTCAAGCAGCAATAGTGGCTACAGGGAATAGAAAAATAGCATTCCAGAGAAGATGTGCACAACTATTGTCAGCATCAACCGTCCATTCAGCAATGTTCTTTTTTTGTGTGTTAATTTTGATGTTTGCCATCTCCACTCAAATCGACTTGCTTTCTTTTCCACGGCTGAAAACAGAATCGGTCAAGGCTAATGAATCCATAGATGCAGATATTTGAATGAATGATCAAAAAACTTCACGAGAAGCCACTTGTATGGTTTTCATTTCAAATATTAGCAATGATATTTTTTTTGTTTGTGCCATTTTGCATCCATGGAGTGATACCTTTTAATTCTGATTCACCCTAATTTTGATTTGTTTATTCGTTTATTATTTTATCAGTTTAGCTTCTCTAATGGAGAGCCTGTTAAGGTAACTAACGTGTTCACACGTGATTTATTTCTGAACTTATGATTGAATTCAACATGTTTTTTTCGCCCTGATTTTGTATGATGCTATACGCCGTTGCTGTGACACGAGATGCAATTTATACCGTGAAACAAATTTTGGGCCATGTCGCACAGCCCTCTGGAGAAGTTCAACTTTTTCTGCCGCTCCTTGTCTGAGCTAATGTGCAAGTTTAGCCACAAATCTCGGTGTTGTTGTTCTTGTGCCTTCTGTTCCAGGAGGTACAAATGAAAGTGAGCACACCGAGAGCCCCTCTGTGAGAAAATGTCTCAGGAAAACTCGGGGGGAGCTGCTCCTGCGAGAGTATGAGGTATTGGTCCATCAGACCGCATTGTGTCAGAGACAATGTTTTTTGTTTTTGTTTTTTTTAAAGTACACCAACAAACCTTCATTTGAGAAACAAATTGTGAAATGTAAAGAATAAACACGTACAGTTTGGGGAGGGGTCAGTCATATCTGAGCAGTTGCTGTTGCTAAAAGGCCCATTTGTTCAACTTGGGAGTTAAACTGGCCCCAGTTTTCAAAATTTCTCTACAAAGATAGTATTTTCCTTTTTTTAATTGACAGGATGATATATTTTCAAGTTTTCAGTAAATTAATGATGTTCGTGTGCAAAAATGAGCATTTTCTGCAATTGGTCCTTTGCCAGGAAGAAATTGAAGGTCTCGTCAGAGAGAATGAAGAGCTGAAAACCAAAAATCAAAGTCTGGAATTGCAGCTGAGGACCGCTTTGGATCCCTGCACGATTAACCCTGCGCAAGCAGACGACAAAGGAGTGGACCCGAGCTTCATGGAGGAATTGGCAAAGAGGCTGCAAACAGCCCAAAATGTTTGCGATGAGGTCAAAGAGGACATGAACAAACTGAAGGAGGTAGGCAACCTTTCACGGAGTAGAATTCCCTTTTCCGGACCTTGAATCAAGTACTTTGTGAAAAGACACCCGACGCTGAGGCCTTCTGCTACTCTTGTCACCCTCAGGCGAATAAAGCACTGCGATCTCAAAATGTTGACCTGGTACAAGAAAACATGAGACTGAAAGCTGAGGTGGTCAGTCGATCGCCACAGAAGTGAGTACCTTATTTTGGTTGAAAGGGCGATTTTTGTTTGCGGAAAAAGACTCTCTCTTGTGACAAACTTAAAGTCCGGTCAGTCGATCGCCACAGAAGTGAGTACCTTATTTCGGTTGAAAGGGCGATTCTTGTTTGCGGAACAAGACTCTCTCTTGTGACAAACTTAAAGTCCACAGACGCACCTTGTTCACGTCTCAAGGCCAAACCTTGTCAATTCATATTTTGGCGCAATATTTTCAACCCACCTCACACTGAGCCCACCCCGAGTGAACTGTCGTGCTGTCCGGAGCCGTTGTCGACTAGTTTTCCGAAGCGGCTGACTGCCCGCCACTGGTTTTGCCGTGATTTAAAATTTGAATTGCTGTTGAATGCCGTCGTGAAGGCCAATATGCGACGACCAACGTATTAGAGCATGTGAGCTTCCACCACCAAAATAAGTAGAACACAAAAATATGTGTTGTCAACCGATCTCTACAAAAAAAAAGCCTTTTTACTTTTTTTTTTTTTCATTTTGGAGATTTTTTTTAAAGTTTAACTTGTAAAACCATCAACGTATAAATATAATAAATAAGTTAAAATACACAAAGAACAAGGTGTAGGGTTAGATAATTATATTTTTTTTTTTCGTTTTGGAGATTTTTTTAAAAAGTTTAACTTGTAAAACCATGAACTATAAATATAAATAAGTTAAAATACACAAAGAACAAGGGGTAGGGTTAGATAATTATGATTTTATTCTTTACTTCTTCCTACTTCCTTTGAACGTGTAAATGAAGTTTTTTTTGTACTTCCCTTTTACGTTCTACCAAATTGTAGTCATCTGTTTCGATATTCAATAAACAAACAAATAGTCACATACCAACCTTGGCGTTTTTACAATGCTAAGATCAGGAACAACATATTTCATTCTAACCCACACGTGCACATCTGCGCCTGATTTGACTTGGAGGCTTTATTGTGCGATAGCTGAAAGTGGTTTGAGGAATAAAACCGCAAGTTTTGAGTGAAAGTGTTTCACGCGCTTTTGCGAGCATGGAAGGTTTCTTTCAACTTCATCTTCCCCGATTTGACTCTGTGTCGAATGTCTTGCACAGAAGCAAAATCTGTGCTTCAGGTCAGTTAGGTGGCTTGAATGAATTCCTTTCATTCGGAATGCTAAAATCGGATGTAACCCCCCCCACACACACACACACACACACGCACTATTCCACTCTAAAACACGCAATTCATCCCCAGGTTTGGTCGTTACACTGTTGCTGCCTTGGAAGCGAAAATCCAGCAGTACCAGAGAGACGTTGAGCACCTGAAGAGGGCTCTGGAGCGCAGCGACCAGTACATCGATGACTTGGAGAATCGGGTCAGGATGTCAGAAAAGAGATGCGCCGAGTTGCAGGAGGCGTGCAAAAAGAGCACGCCGGGGTTTGAATCCCTCAGCCAGCAGCAGAGGATCCACATGATGATGAGGAGCTTGAGCGATCACGAGAGGGGCTCCATCTGCAGCAATCCCGAGGCAGACCCGCTTACGCTTTCCAAGGCTCGCAGTTTGATGTTCTTTGCGTGCGCGGATCACAAGGACTCTCCCCCGAATCCCCGTGGACTTCCCAAAAAGGGCGAGGACTTGGACGGCACGTCCTCGGACTTGTTGCCCTCCACCCCTTCGTCCGCCTTCCGCTCGCTGACGCTGAGGAGCCCCGGCGTGCGCGACAAGAAAGTTGCCTTCAAGCCCGTCACTCATCTCAGGAGGATCGATTTTGACGATGTTCCCGGTACAGCCGAGACGGCCGCGGACCACCAGTTCGGTTTCACTTTGTCTCGGACCGCCGACGACTCAAAGCCGCCGAAGCCTGTTTTTTGGGGGTCTTGGAAGTTCTCCAAATCCAATGAGCAATCGTCTCCCGGTCCAAGTAAACAAGTCTTGCCCACCGATTCCTCGGCCGACGGTTTTGTGGCCGACGAGCCCGACAGTTTCCAAAAGTCCAGCGAGGCCTCCATGGACGCCGCTTACCTCAACAAAATCTCCGAGTTGGACTCCATGATGCTGGATGTGGACAGCTCCAGTAGCCGAGGTTCTCAGCTCTCCCCGGCGTCCTCCCTTCCCGCCGATCTCGACCACACTCTGGTCCCCGATCCGCCGGCGTGCTCTGGCGTCGTCGCGCAACGCGGCACGGCGAATAACAACGAGGCTTCGGGAGGCCGCCGTGCCGGAGAAGGATGTCCTCCGTCGCTGGCGTCGGATGTAGACGAGAGCGGCGTGGATCACGGAGGGACGTCCCAGGCCGAAGAGCTCTCTTTTGATTTGCTCTTCGATGCCGTGGAAGAGACTCGGGCCGGTCCCCGCGGCCCCGTCAGCCCGGCGGGCCCGCGCCGGGATCGCCACGCCTCCTCCTCCCCCGGCGGCAAACCTACGAACGCATCGAGAGAGCGACACGCACTCAACGCTGGCCAGCCGACCAAGCGAAAGTCCCACAGCCCCTTTAACACGAGCAGTCCAACGAAACTTTCAAAGCTCATGTGAAGTTTTCAAACACTTCCCTGCGTCCTCTGCATTGGAACATGTTGTGGTCGCATGTTGCTCACAAGATTTTGCCCATCAAAAGTTGCGCCTTGGCCGTCTGTGAAAAACAGGAAGGTCTGATTGCTTTTTTTTTTGTGATAGCCCCAGTATAGGAAGGCGGTGAATAGAGTCTGGTCTTCTAGTGTTGAAATTATCAGACAAATAACTGCTGTTTTACTTAGCACTGCCTGTCTACTGTTGTCATACTGTTTCCTCTCTGACCTTTTTGTCCTAGAAGCTGTTAGATATGCAAGATTACTGGGAAGAGAAAGTATACAATGTAACATTGCCCCCCTACCCCCTCAAAAAAGGCGTTTTCAGAACACCTCAGCTAGGTGGAAATGCTACATTGCGTTCAGTAAATTTAGCGACTGACATGACAAATTCTGTGACGCTTCCTCTTTATTAGGCGCACTTCCAAAATCCCTCTTGTAACTTATTTATTTTCTGTCATTTAAAGCAGAAAAGCGCCAACTCTCTACGGCTGAGAGCTTGATGTATAAAATCATCACACACACTCACACACACACAAACATAGTAATTCAGTTGTTCCAGAAAGCACTTTATTATGCAAATTTAACGATATCACGTGTATTTCACACAGTGCTAATCACTCGCATGAAATTTTAATTGGACAACCGTTGTGGTTTGAATAAATGAAGAGTTAATTCATTGAGATTCATTAATTTAGATAAGGACTGTACAAGGAAGGTTACACTGGAGTATTAAATCAATTTGCTCAGCGCTCCACTGGAGAGGCGACGAGCTTGGAGGATGAAGGTGCTTTGTAAACAATCGATGTGGTACATTTTCATCGTGTGTTCATGGAGTTGCCTTGTTTTTGTCCGTTGCGCCAGCATGAAACGTACAATTGTGCCACGCGCCAAATTGGGTCAAATCTGAGCGTAACTGTGTTTGCTCGTTCGCTGTACCGGAGTGAAGAAGGCTGTGAAATATTTGTGTTACCCGTACGACTGTCGCCGCTGTGCTGTTCCAAACCACTGCAAACATTTTTTACGTGTTGCGTTATTAGAGAGCTCCAATTTAAAAGGAGCGTTGATTGTCATTGTGAAGCCAGAATTGTTGTCATTCATTTCTGCCGGTGGAGTTACGTGAAGTCAATGATCTCATTTTGTTTATTTTTGCTTTCCCTAAACATATTCAATAAAAAAATAATAATAAAATAAACTGCAAATGTCCATACAGATTTTACATTGAAGTTTTTAACACAATGGTAACGAATTACTTTCCACGATATCCTCAAATGCGTGTAAAGATCGGTTTGTCTTGAACTAAATTTGGATGAAGAATATCGACTCTTTTCTTGCGCGAGCAATCTCTCCCATCGTGAACGCGCGTTCTCCTCGCGGGGACGAAATCTTCACGGATGGGAGAAATGGCCGCCGAAACGAACTCAACTCTGCTATCAGCTTTTCGCCTCCCATCACAAAGAATCAAGGGGCCGGTTCCGCGGCGCGAGTCCTTAAAAAGCGCGGACGCCTCGTCTCGTGACGTTCGTGCCTGTGCCCCGAGAGCAGTTTTTTTTTTTTTTTAATCTGTCAGCCTCTTCGCTGCTCTGGCACTTTCTGTCTCGCGAGAGCAGCCGGGCCGGGCTAGACGAGATCTGAGGCGCTCAGGTGTAAGAGGCTCTCTCATCCCAGCAGCGGGGAAACAGTAGACAGATAAAGTGCGCGTGAGAGACTGCAGGCATCTCTGTGATCTCCGAGCTCAAGGCTCGACTCGGCGCACACACGCACACAAGAGCGCGCGCTCGGCGGCATCACAAGCGCGTCGACAAAAGGATCACTGGCGGTGTCAAGGACTGCCTTTTCGGGCTCTTTTGGCCGTTTTAGCCCTCGCCCCTGCGCCGCGCACTTTTATTGGGGGAGCTCGCCAAGATGATGTCCATGAACAGCAAACAGGCGCACTTCGCCATGCACCCTTCGCTGCCGGAGCATAAGTACACCACCCTGCATTCCAGCTCCGAGGCTATCCGGAGAGCCTGTCTACAAACTCCACAGGTAAAAATACATTCTCCGTCCAACTTGAACGGCTTCGAAGTCGAGGGCTGTGGCAGAGCGACGACAGGGCGTAATTCAACGGGTCGCTCCAAGGCGCACTGACGCGCGCTGATATTTTGTTTTTGTTCGGGTATTCCGCTGCAATTTCTGTGATCTTTTTCAAAGCGCGCAAATATCGACTTCGCTTTTTTTATGACTTCCTGCTTCTAGAGAGAAATAGCTATACACCTCAGCTGTGTCGCCCAAAGTCCCAACTGACAGATGCATGTATTCATGTTCTCGCGAAACGAACGCCTCGTCATTCTGAGCGCTTCTTTGACTTTTTCCGCCCGCCCGCAGCTGCAAAGCAACATTTTCGCCAGTTTGGACGAGACGCTCCTGGCCCGGGCCGAGGCTCTGGCGGCAGTGGACATCGCCGTGTCCCAGGGCAAGACGCACCCGTTCAAGCCCGACGCCACGTACCACACAATGAGCACCGTGCCGTGCTCGTCGACGTCCACGGTGCCGCTGGCCCATCACCACCACCACCATCACCACCACCACCACCAGAACCTGGAACCCCCGGACTTAATGGACCACATCAGCTCGCCCTCTCTCGCCCTCATGTCCAGCGGGCACGACGGGCCCGGAGGCGGAGGTGGTGGCGGCGGCGGTGGAGGCGGCGGCGGCGGCGGCGGCGCAGGGCTCATCTCCAGCGCCTCGGCGCCCGCGCACGCGCACCCGCACTCGCACATGCACGGCTTGAGCCACCTCTCGCACCAGGCGGCCATGAGCATGAACTCGCCTCTCACCCACCACGGCCTCTTACCGGGTCACCACGGGGGCAGCCAAGTGGGCCCCGGGCTGACGGGCAGCGGGCTGCCGTCCATCAATGACTCGGACACGGACCCCAGGGAGCTGGAGGCCTTCGCGGAGCGCTTCAAGCAGCGGCGGATCAAACTGGGGGTGACCCAGGCGGATGTGGGCGGCGCGCTGGCCAATCTCAAAATCCCCGGCGTGGGATCGCTGAGCCAAAGTACAATTTGTCGCTTCGAGTCGTTGACTCTGTCCCACAACAACATGATCGCGCTCAAACCCATCCTGCAGGCTTGGCTGGAGGAGGCCGAGGGGGCCCAGAGGGAAAAAATGAGCAAGCCGGACATATTCAACGGAGGGGAAAAGAAACGCAAGAGGACCTCGATAGCCGCTCCGGAGAAGCGGTCCTTGGAGGCCTACTTCGCCGTTCAGCCGCGGCCCTCCTCGGAGAAAATTGCAGCCATCGCTGAGAAATTGGACTTGAAAAAGAACGTGGTGCGAGTGTGGTTTTGCAACCAAAGACAAAAGCAGAAACGCTTGAAATTTTCCGCCGCCCACTGATGCTAGGCTGCGGGGACCAACACAAAAACAAAAGTTCTTGTGACTGAATTTGGGGACCAATGGACTGCAGTAAAAAAAAACAACAACAACAACAAACACCATTTTCAGTCTTTTGTCGCTGGCGAGTTTCTACGCCGGTGAGCAACGGGCTTCGGTCATTCTAGAAGAGGCTTCATATATATATATTGGTTATTTTTTCACGTTATCGGTGAATGTGAAGTATGCAAATATCAGATGACACCCACCTTGCGCCGTCCCTGTAACAGGGGGGCAAAGTTGAGCGACGTCGACGTCGCCTTTGAAAAGACGCGGGGAAGGGAAAACGGTTTCCAAAAGCGAGTTGATTTCTCCGAACAGGCCTATTATTTCCACTAATAGCCATTCACAAATTACCTCATTGATTGTCGTATATACTGTATTTTTGCTTTGGCTCTCGTCGGAGTCGCTCAAGAATAATCCACGTGACTTTGATTTGTTCATAAGTATTTTATTTCCGTCTTTATTCATGTTCGCGATGGAGGCTGCTACAATTCAAATTCCGTTGCGAAATCGTCTGGCTGTCAACGAAAACTTTGGCCTGCACGGAATCCACATTCACAGGCAGCATTTTTTTTTAATCCTCTCGAGTAAAGGCTCCCGCGTCTGCCGTGGACATCTTTCGTTCGATTTGCACAAAAGGCCCTTATTTATAAGAAACGTCCACGTCTTTTGTAAATACGTACATCACTTTATCACAAGATTGGAGTTGTGTTAGAATTAAAATGATCGCGTCACGCGTGAAGGTTAACAAGAAAAAAGGGGGGGAAAAAAACAACAACCAGAGAGCACGAAAAGCCTTGTCTGCTGATGAAAACAAAACCGAAAGGTACTTTCAGTGTTTTAGTTTGCAGTGCAAGCACTCTATGCATTATCGGAAGAGGAATTATTCATTCATATTCTTTGGTACGGTCGAGCCGTCGACTGCTGTAGAACTTGCCTTGTGATGGTGTCAAGTCACTGTTAACTGCCTGTGTTCACATGAAGATCACCACGTTGTTTGTCGTGTTCAATGTGAAGGGAAACCTTGTCAGGATTTTTTTTTTCTTTTTCGACTTCGTGCACAACGACATATATGTTTACAGAGCTGCGACGACGCGTGCGCCCTGGAATTGTCTTTTGAGCTGCGCTCTCCTCACAACTTGTCATGCACACGCATTTGTTGTCCCCCTTTCTTTTGCTCTTACCTTCAACTGTGCTTATTTATTTTGTTCATCCTATACGCCAAATTCAACAGGGAGGTGTGTTCCAGCAATCTTCGAATAAATCGAAAAATTAAAAGTTTGCCTCTCTGGTTGTGAATGGCACACAAAATGAAGACTTTTCCTGTGGTGTTTCATGTCAAGTGTTTGAAATTCATCGAAAATCAAGGAGCCGACGGTCGCTAAGGCCTTCGTTTGAATTCCATCTTCTTGTCCTAAATAAAACATGTACGTGTTCACAAACTCAACCCAGATGTGATTGCATGAAGAGCGGAACATGCAGTGTGAGTTCGTTTGATTCAGGTCAATTAAATAGAGGTGATTGTTTTTTTTTGCAGCTCCCAAAAAATGAAAAGGAAATATTTGAAGCAGGAAACAAATTTATGTTTAACGAAGAACTGAAACGAGTTTTAGATAGGACTTTTTAAAAAGGGAAATGCTTGCCATTCCACCCCCCCCCCAAAAAAAAAAATCACGCTGCCTGCAGAATCTTGTGTGTCTTTAGCCATTTCAAAAGGCAATTGTCGATGCACTATTTGGAGCAAAATGTCTTGCTTTTTTGGGGGTGGCATCGCAAAGACGGAAATCAACCTTTGCCTTTCTGAACGAAACGCGCGTAACAATGTATTTCAT